CGTTGCCAAGCGACGAAAACCCAACCCCGATGGCAAACACCGGGGGGGGCGGCTTGTTTTACAACGTCGTTGCCAAGCGACGAAAACCCAACCCCGATGGCAAACGGGGTGGGGGGTGGGGTCGAGGGGGGGAGTGCTATAATTCGTGTTGGGAGAGGACGGTCATTTCTACACATGCGCTTGGCGAGCACTGCTGTCGCAACTTGCAGCTGCCGTCTCTGGCCACGTCATTTTCCCCTCATCACCCAACAACGGCAGTTTTCTGCGGGGATTCTGGATCATCTGCGTGGTCGATCGTTGGTGGTTGTGGGCGAGGGCATGCTGTCGCGGGGGGAAATCAAATAAAAAGAAAAGTACCATACTTCGAGATGTTACGTGTTGTTTTCACTTGACATATGTACGTTGTTTCTTGCTCATTGTCCATAATACTTCCCGATGCTTTCGACTCCGGGCTCCAATTGATAAGCCGCGGGCGGAGATGGGTGTAACCTGGAGCTAGTGGCGAGGTGCGAAACATAGGCACGGGGTACTGCTGTTGTTTCTGGGCTTTGCTCGGTACATATGTACTGACGAAAATATTGTAGTGATTCGACACCCACATCGAAAAAACAGGTGAAAGAAACAGTGAAATGCAAAAAACAAGTGGTGCAGGGGGGAATTGAATCCGCTTATAACAAAAAATAAGCAACCGTGTTGAAATACCGGCTGGTACAAGGTGCGCAACCTCCAAGAAACAGTACACCTTGCACTACCATCGGCAACCTGCTCACTACATACAGTAGTCGGTTTGTTCATAGTGCCAACCTCCAAGAAAAGTATACCTTACACTAAAGCACCATGACAGTATCATTGGCAACCTGTTCCCTAACCGGCTTGTACACGGCCAGTAGTGCGCCAACCTCCGAGAAAGGGCACCTTGCATTACCGTTGGCAGCTTGTCCCCTAACCGACTTTTAAGCAACGTATAACCTCGAATGAAAGTACACCTTGCACAACCTGGCCAACTTTACATCGTGAGGGTTACCAAAAGGTTGCAAGTAGTGCTCTATTGCAGCGAAGCCACGAGATTTTATAGTTCACTAGATTTTAATAGTTTTTACTTTGTACTTTTGCAGAGCGGCCCGGTAGAGGTGCTTTATGTTTTACAAAAAAATAAGAGAGATCGCACGTAAATGTATGCGCGCAAAAAAACAAGAAAATTGACTGAGGGGGGGGGGGGGGG